TTCTTTTAAAATTTTAAAGAGAAATTAATAACAATAATAAAAAGAAATAAATGAATACATACATAGTTTCTATCTTCTTTCTTTTTATATTTTCTTTGTATTAAAAAGAATATTGATAAAGACAAAATTATTTTATAATTTTAAGATTTTCCAGTAATAGTATATCTAGATTTTGGAATTATAACTTTTTGGTTTGATAAGTTAGTTTCAGATGCTCTTCCTTTTATTTGTTTATGTTCTCCTTTTAATTCATTTTGTTCACATAGTTGTTCAAATAATTTCATTTTTTCTTTTACAGAAATAAAGTTTTGATTTAATTGTTCTGTTTTAGAATCTGTATGATTAGTTTCATCTTTAATTTGTTTTCTTAATTTAATTATTTCATATTCTAATGCTTTTTTTTCATTTTGAGTTTTTTTCAATAACTTTTTAATTTCATTAATATCATTATTTTCTTCTTTATATTCTAAAATTTTTTTATTTGTTTCTTCTTCTTTTTTCATTAGAGCAATTTTTGTTTTTTCAAGTTCTCTTTTAATTATATCCACACCGTCAAGTTTTTCTTTCATCTCAATAACTTCTTGTTCTTTTTCATCAATTTCTTTTTCTGACTTTCTCAACATCATATCTAATTCTTCATTTTCTTTATCATATTTTTCAATTTCTATTTCAAGTAATTTTATTTTATGTTTTAATGATGTGACTTCTGTTTTATCAGTTTCTTCTCTTTTTATTTCATTTAATTTAATTTTTAATTTTTTTATTTCTTCATCTTTTTCAATAATAATATTTTCTTGTGATTTATCTTTTGAATCCGTTATTCTTTTAATTTCTTTTATCGTTATAGTTAAATTATCAATTTGTTGCTGAAGTTCTTTTGTTTTGTTTGTTGAACTTTCAATAATATCTTGTAATTCTTCAATTCGCTTATTATTTAATTGAATAGTATTTTGTAATTCTTTAACTGTATTTTTTAATACCTCTTTTTCTTCATCATATTCTAATTGCTCTTCTTTAATTTTAAAAACCCTTTTTAATATAACAATTTGTGTTTGTGTTAGTCCAATTTTTGTTGCATTTTGAAGTAAAAATTGACCTGAATTTTCATTTGATTCTTTTAAAACTTTCATCAACATTTCAAATTCATTAAAAAATAATCTTCCTGCCCACCAAGTAATTTTGTCAATTAATAAATCATTTAATGTTTGAAAGAGTGCTTTTGTTTTTGTTATATAATCATCTGATAATCTATATTTATCTTTTATCATTTCAATTACTTCTGGTTCTGCATTTTTTTGGTAGCAATAAAATTCTCCTGCATATTTTGATGTTACACCAATTGAATGAAGAACAACACCTGTTAAAATGTTATTATTTCCTGATTCTTTTTTCATTTAATTAATTATTAGTTCATTTGAATTGTTCTTTTAATTAATGATGAGTATAACCCAAAAAAGGAATATAAAAATAAAATGAAAATGAAGAAAAAAAGGGGGTTAATAAAAAGTTTTTAATTATTTGTTTTTTATTTTTTAAAATTATATTTTTTGATATTTAATATTTTTAGAAGAAAAAAATTATTGAATTATGATACTGAAGAATGGATGCTGTAAATATTGTTTCCATGTTAATCTTGAATCTTGAATTACAAATAACTTTCTTAATAAATCTATTAATACTATAAATTGTGGTTGATTTCCACAAACAAATTCATTTGAATGTTCAATAATTTCATTGAGTTTTAATTGATAAAAAGAATAATAATTTTCAATAGGAATATTAGAAGTTTTTTGAATATTTAATACCGTTCCAGTAATCATTTCATATAATATGACACCAATACTAAACAAATCACATTTTTCGTTATAAATTGTTCCATGTGAAATTTCTGGTTGGTTAGTATAACTTGAACCAACAAATATTGTATCAAAATTATTATCTCCAATTAATCTACTAGAACCAAAGTCACATAATTTTAATGTCAGTCCATTTGCTTTTGATGAATCTTGGAAAACAAGAATATTTTGTGTTTTAATATCTCGATGAATTATTTGACGTGTAAATATTAAATATTTCATTGCATTGTTAATATCAAACATAAATTGTTGAATATATTGTAATGAAATTCCTTTAGGATTCATTGAAATAAAATTAAATAAAGAACCATATGCTGAACATTCCATAACTATATAATAAAATGTATCTGAATCTATTGCATCTTGTGAAAAAAAATTAAATTTTACTGATGTAGGAGATTTAAAAAATTTATATAACTTAACTACATTTTCATGACTACAAATATTCATTGTACGAACTTCTTTTATTGCACTTTCATAATTACTCATTTCTTTTATTGCAAAAAAATTACCTTTACATGACGCTGAAAATACACACCCAAAAGATCCTTTACCAAGAATTTTACATGACTCACGATCAAAAATATCAAAAATATTATTAATATACTCTGGCTCAATATGTTTATATTTCCAACATTCATTGAAATATGGGTCTTTCTTCATTGCTTCTTTAATCTTTGAAAAAGAAATTAATCTTCTTTTAAACAGCTTTTCAAGGAACTTCAGTGGTGGTTGAATTAAACAACCATTTACCTGTGAACTAAATGTATTTCTACTAACAATGAATTGAGAACCTTGTATTACTGGATTTTGTTGGAAGAGAAGTTTATTTAATAAAACACCAAAAGAATTTATCT